CTGAGTCCGTGTGTGTGTGACCCCCGTGCAGACATGAGTCCCAAAAGCTGCCTCGGCTGCACCAAGTGGTTCCTCTTCCTCCTCAACCTCCTCTTCTTCGTGAGTGGGGCTGGAGGGATCTTGAGGGGTAGGAGGGAGAGGGGGGAAGTAGAATTTGGGAGGGCAAGGAGGAGATGCGGGACATACAATTTGGGGGCGCTTGGGGGAGATGTGGGAACCTGGGGCTGAGGAGACACGGAGCGACCTGGGGGGACCAACAGTCTCCCAGTGTTTCTGGGCACTGGGGGTCCAGCATCTCCTGACCTGGTCCCTGCAGTTCCTGGGCATATTCCTCCTCGCCTTCAGCTTTTGGCTTCTCTTCGACCGGCAGAGCTTTGCCACCGTGCTGGGTAAGGGACTCCCAAAGTATAGGGTACCCCAAGACATGTGGCACCCCAAGCTGGGAGGCTCCCTGACCCCCCCGTCGTGTCCTACAGGGTCACCGCTGGTCAGCCTGAGGGTCTGGTCTTACGGCTTCTCTGGGGTTGGCATCGCCACAATGCTCCTCGGATTCCTGGGGTGCCTGGGGGCCCTCAAGGAGGTCAAGGTCATGCTGGGGCTGGTGAGCTGGGGGGCGTCGAGAGGGGTCACGGAACTGGGAGGGGGCTGGGGTAGCTGTGCTGCAACTTCCTGGGGCAACCGCGGGGCCACGTGCTGCCACCACATCCTGTGCCTGGGGATCAGCAGTGGGGAATGGGGGGAACCCTCTGAGCTGTCCCCGGTACCGGGGACAGGCTGGGACAGAGGTCTGGTTGACTCCCACCTTCCCTGTTTATCCCAAAAGTATTTTGGGCTCCTGCTCCTGCTCTTCACTGCCCAGATCACCGTGGCCATCATCGTCTACACGCAGCGCGCCACCGTGAGTGCAGGGGTGAACCCAGAGCTTGCGGGAGGACCCTGGGGTCAGAAGGGACCCTGGAGTCATGGGACAGTGATATGCCAATCCCCCTTCCCAGCTGGCTACAAAGGTGGCTGCCTACACAGAGGAGCTGATCCGGGGGTACCCAGCCCAGGGACCACCTGGGGACACCCATGAGAGCTGGGACGCTGTCCAGCAACAGGTGAGATCCCCTAAAAGGACCCCAAGGCCACCCCACGGTCACCACACTGGCCCTCTGCCCCTCCAGCTCGGCTGCTGTGGCTGGAAAGGACCCCAGGACTGGGACCACCATGATGACTCCACCAGGGACAGGGACAGGGCCATTGCCTGCTCCTGCCTCAGGGCACACAACAGCACCCACAAGACCCCATCGATGCTCCCCCACGGCCGCTGCCCCATGGCTGCCCTCCAGGACATCTTCCCCAGGGTGAGGCACGAGGGAATCAGGGGGTCCTGGAGCTCTGCGGGGCGCTCAAGGTGACCCCCAGTTGTCACCCCAGGGCTGCAAGGAGAGGGTCCAGACCTGGCTGGCTGGAAACCTGGTCACCATCGTGGGGGTTTGCATAGGCATCGGCCTGGGAGAGGTAGGGAGGATGCCCTGGGGCAGAGGGCTGAGCTGGGGGGGGCCTGGGGGTGGTCGAAGTCTGTGGGACCATAGGATGGGCTGGGCAGCAGCTGGAGGTGCCAGGGAGGGTTCAAGGGATGGTCCGTGGGGAGCCAGGGGTTGGTGGGGATTCAGGGTTGCCAGAAGGGTCCGTGGGGCGTTCAGGGTGGCCGGGAGGGGGTTCAGGGGTCCGAGGGGTTCCGGGAGGGCCAATCCCGCTCTCTACTCCCAGCTCTTCCTTCTGATGCTGTCGATGTTCCTGGTCCGGAACCTGGACTCCCACTACGAGAAG